AAAAAAAAAAAAAAAAGCCCAGCAGAGGCCACTGTGACATTTACCTGTTCCTTAATTGGGATTTTGTTGAGGGATTACTCTAAAGTACACGGAAGTAATTTTATTTTTTCATTTCCTTCTGTGATTAGAGAGGAAACACCATGTATCACCATGTAGTTGCCATTTATTTCAAATTAAAGTCTATTGAAAGAGGAGGAAAAGGGTAGTTACTGGTATCATGCATTACCTGGACAGGTGAATTTAGCCTAAGAAGCAGTTATTAGGTAATGGGCCTGACTTCCATAAGCAACATGGGCATGCACATTTGTCTCAAAATGAGAAAACCAAGAGCAGCACTTAGCACGGTTAGGTTGCTTCAATGGGGAATCTGTTGATCCCATGAATTGCTCTCTTGTTTTTCAGTTTTTCCCCTACATCCTGTTACTGGTGGCGATCCTCCTGTACCTGCCCTCCCTGTTCTGGCGTTTCACAGCTGCTCCTCATCTTTGCTCAGATTTGAAGTTTATCATGGAAGAACTTGACAAAGTTTACAACCGTGCTATTAAAGCCGCAAAGAGCGTGCAAGACCTTGACGAGAGAGATGGTGCCTGCCCAGTTCTGGGTGTTAATGAGAAAGTAGGGCAAAGGTAACTTAGCCCCCAGCAGCTGTCTTGTCAGGTTTTGGGGTACAAGTTATCTGCACTTCTCCTGCCCATTTGAACTTAGGGCTCCCATAGCCAATAGATGGGGGGCCATCATCCACATAGTGACACTGTGGGAGCCAGGAAGGCCCGCTCTCCCCATCTCTCCCTTGCACCTGTGCTCACATCACGAGTCCTCTTGTTGAGTGAAACATCACTGTTGAATCTTCTCAAATGCAGTTCTAGTAGGGGTGGCAGGTTACAGAACTAGGTGTGGCTCGCTTGCTTTGACCTACTCCTTAATGGAGAAGCACAGAGGATTATGCGGCCACTTAGTTTAGAGACTGGTGTGAGAGAAGTGGGGAACAAGTAGGCAGTGCATTGCCTGTTTCACATTCTACCTCTGGTTCTTATCATCAACAACAGTAATAATAATATTAATAGCTCTCCCTTTTAAAATACTTAATATATCCCAGACACCATGTTGAGTTCTTCAAGTACATTATCTCATTTAACCATCAGAGCATCGTTATCAACTAAGTGCATTTTTTTTTTTTTTCCAGATAAAAACACTGTCCTATAGTTATAAATGGGAGAGCCGGGACCTGAACCAGGACTGTTGGGCCCCGCAGCCTGAGCCCACACCCACTGAGCTGTCTGTCTCCCGTCCCTCGCACACAGGAGGCATACATGTTCTAGTTGGGCTAGAAAATTCTTCTTTTCCTTATCTGCACACTTGAGTGGAAAATTATAGTTTAAAAAAAAGCGGAATAAAGAAATATCAATTTAACAAATGTTTAATGTCTACTAGGTGTGAGGTATTCTAAGAATTTACAAATAAAACTCATTTAACTAACTAGACCTTCTTTAAAATATTAAGGGGGAAAAGTCGTTTATTATTGCTTTTCCTTCTTCCTTTTTTTTTAAACCTGATTTTATTCCCTGGTGCTTTAATGAAGTTATAGGTAGAGAAGTACAGGACAGAAGGCATTGAGGTTTTTAGTGTGACACAGTTGAATGTGTGTACATCTTTGATATTTGATCCCTTGGTAAGGGTTTAAATTATTTTTATTTGTTCCTTTTTCTTTTTTAGTTTTTGTGAGATACCTGAAAGCCACTTCAAGTACCCAATTGTGGAGCAGTACTTGAACACAAAGAAAAACTCTAATAATTTAATTGTCAAGTACATCAGCTGCCGAGTGCTAACACTCAGTATTATACTATTAGCATGCATCTACCTGGGCTATTACTTTAGCCTCTCCTCCCTCTCGGATGAGTTTGTCTGCAGCGTCAAATCCGGGATCCTGAGAAATGATAGCACTGTGCCTGATCAGTTTCAGTGCAAACTGGTCGCAGTCGGCATCTTCCAGGTGCTCAGTTGCATCAACCTCATTGTTTATGTTCTGCTGGCTCCCATCGTTGTCTACACGCTGTTCATTCCGTTCCGACAGAAGACAGATATTCTCAAAGTGTATGAGATCCTGCCCACTTTTGGTGTCCTGCATTTCAAGTCTGAAGGGTACAACGACTTGAGCCTCTACAATCTTTTCTTGGAGGAGAATATAAGTGAGCTCAAGTCATACAAGTGTCTGAAGGTACTGGAGAATATTAAAAGCAGTGGTCAGGGCATAGACGCCATGCTCCTCCTGACTAACCTTGGCACGATCAAGATGGATGTTGTCGATGGCAAAAATCCCGAGCCTGTGGAGATGATGGGAGAGGAGCAAGGGAACCATATGGCAGAGCTCAAAGGTAGGGTGACCTCTCAGGGCAGAGGCTGAGGAAGCCCACAGAGCGCCTTTGCAGCCGCCTTTTATGAATGATTGACAGTCTTTTCCCCTGTCCACCATTGTTAAACCATTTTCCTGTTAGGGTCTTGCAGTACTGGGAGAGAGAGGGCAAGAATTGGTGCTGCCCCAAATCTGCAAAGAAGGAAAGCGTCTGTGCTTTCTCTAGACTGTTCTCTCTTCCTTCTCAGATTTGAAGTTTCTCTCTCTCTGTCTCATACTCTGCCTCTTGCTCAAGAATTCCTCCTTGCTGTCGTTCTTGCTTATTTTTGTCTTGTTTTACTGGCTTTTCTCCCTGTATCTCTGATCCTCTTGTCTTTCATTCTCCATCTCTTTTAAAAGGGACTGAAAGTTTAGTGATTTAATTGTTGCCCTGTCCTAACTTCACTGTGCTCTGAAATTTGGCTAAGAAGCAAAACCCGATAAGGCAAAGAACACAAGATAGATTTATAGCAGAAGAGAAGTTAATTAGTGCTGATGGTTCCTGCTGTGTGACTTCTGTCATAAATATTTGTTTTCCATTTTGACAGATTTGAATGTACACAGTGAAACTAAAGCAAATGGAGAGAAGAATGCTCGACAGAGACTTCTGGATTCTTCTTGCTGATGATTTTTTCCTTGAACTTCAGATCTGTGACTTTGGTGACATGGGATTCATTTTGGCTAAAGCACCTCTGTCAGGTTCCCAGCTGGTTTGCAGTAGATGGTTCTTAGAAGAGAAACTGAGCATGTCTTACTGAGTCCCTAATGAAAATGATGGTCAACAAAATGTTGTGGAAGAATGGTTCATGAACTTCCTGTGAGAAGCAGCGTGGAGATACATAAACCACAGCAAGTATATAAGTGTAAGTCCTCATGAAACGAAAAGTGGAAAGACTACTCAGAGTAGAGTAGGAGCACTTTTAGCACCTCAGAGAAACACCTTTCTGAACAGATGGAGTGACGAGACTCAGACCTACTGGGAAGCAAGGACTTCAGGAGGTTTTTTGTTTTGTTTTATGAAATAATAATAAACATGTCAGGATATAATTTAATATGAATCTCCTATGTGCCCTTAATGCCTGCTGGATGAGAAGAACATTGACTGGCTAACTGTGGACCCAGAGGTGGACCTGCCCTTAGCAGGCCCTAATTGGGAGTAATGCTAGTGCCTTGGGTCTTGTGCCCCCAGGCTCTCTCTATACTGCTGCTTGTCAGCCTCGGCCAGTGGAAATCCTCTAACCTCTGTTGGTTGCATTCTGCTACGAAGGGCAGCAGTCCATGCCCTGGTCTGACTGAAAACTTAGTTAACGAGATGGTCTAAGGGATATTTAATTGTGACTTCTCTACAGAAAGAACGCTTCTAAGAGAGCCCAGCGGGGAAATCTGAACACACTGAACAGGTTAATTCAATCACTTTCCAAGGAGTTTTCTGTAGGGAATTCAAATCCTCTGTTATCGAAAGCATTTGAAACAGAATGTTACATAAACAAATTAACAGAACACAGAATGCTTAAAGTGAGGGACATTTTGTGTATTATGATCAGAACATATAAATGACACCTGCCATGTGGTACGCTTGGAACCAGAACAACTTAGCAGTTTATTTTATTTATATTTAAGCATATATTTTAAGAATTCATTTTAATTTAAAATCATATGATGTCAGAATTGAGGCCATTTGGGAAGAACATTCTAGCAGTGATGGAGAATTATAGAATAAATGTTACAAATGGGTGTATAATATAACACCCAAGCATTATTTCTTAAACATTTAAGGCCAACTCAGAAAATATAAAAACCTTCCCCAATTCTGACCATGTAAATAGATCCTAACTATGTTTACATTTTATGTAAAATTCCTTAAAATTACACCTCTGGACCTCCCTATTTTTATTCTTAGAAAGTTAACACATTGCTAAAGTGAGTAATCCTCACAAACCTCAAAGTTTATGTTTGGCACTTAGGGACAGTTCTTTACCAAATCTGTTTACTGTTTTGTGAAGAATAAAATTTTATAAGCTGCTCTCTCTGCCTTTCAGAATATTCACAAAAGCAGATTCTATTTCTGCTTCTGTGATAGTTTCTGAGATGGAAAGCTAATGATAAATATCAAGGATGCAGTCAGTGCTTTAAATTATTCTTATTATGTAATATTTATTACTGTTAAATTATAGTTTGACTTCGAAATGGTAGTAACTTAAATAATCAATTTTGCTACATTTTTATATTGCTGTCTCTGAGATGTTCCAGCCCAATTCTCTACACTAGTTTGTTTTTATAATCTGATAAGATTTCTGGAATATACTTTTTTTTTCCTTCAAAAAGCCTCATCTTCTCTATAGACTGCCCCTAATTTGTTTTTTGAAGTGGTAAAAGTGGATACATTATTTTAGGAGACCAGGAACTCTAAGCCCTATCATGTGTAATCCTTTTATCAGAGTTAGCATAATTAGAGTCCTTGGCCCCTGTTCCTTTCCCCATTCCTACTCTGTGAGCTCCAATAGGGTCTATGATGTCCTGGGCATCACGCTAGTCACCGTTTGTGCAGATATGAATAAGGCAGGTCGGCGTCTTTGAGGAGTTCAGAGTCTAGTAAAGGCAGTAAAGACGGAGACAGATACCAAGAGGAAGAGTAGCCACATGAAAAGCTCTTCCGGAAAATTCCCAGCAAATGCTCTCTGTTCTTGGAGACACCATATTGTTTTTCTGTCTCCCTTGGTTTCTGTAGCTGATGGTTTTGAGATCCAGTTACAGTTTTCCCCAGAGGTTCTTTAGCCACAAATCCCCCAGGCTAAAGCTTGGACAAAACAGTAATAGACAGTGATTTTGAATAGTAAGAGCTCTGTTTGCCTTTTGTACCTTACCTTGCTGGAAATGGGGGTGCAAGCTCGTGGGGGACATGGACTTGCCTGCCCATGAACAACGGTTGCGGCATTAAAAAGCTGATGTGGATGCCTGGTCATACATTTTGGCTTGGGAAAAAGGATTCTTAGGAAAGTTAACTCATCCATCCACTGTGAGTTGTTGGCTTAGGGGACTGCTTTTGAGGAGCCAGTTTCCTGAGATGGAGGAGTCATTCGTTGCTTTATAAAAGGGGACAAACAGACCCTAAATGTCCGCTCCAGGGTTACTGACTTTCTTTCTGGCTCATGTCTTCTGGTAAACCACCACGAGGCCTCTAAACCAGCGTCGTAACACCAGCGTTGCAGCTGGAACTGCGACTGGTCATTCTGAAAGCAGTGTCCAGCTGCATGTTTAATTTTACCAAGGGACAGGCAGAGACCCTCCAGTGTAGAGGGTCCTAAACTTTTGGGAGGTTACAAAGCCCCTTGCAAATATTTTCAAAGCCACGAACCCTCTCCTCAGATATATGCACAACACTAAATACACCTTCCGGGGTCGTCATGGTCCACGGACCCGGGTCAAGAAGCTCTGCTCTGACGGCTGAAGACCAAGCCGCACGGCAGAGAATGGAGGCTCCCGTTACCCTGGGGGAAGCTGCTGCTTCCAGCAGTAAGTCTCAGCTGTGTGTTTACTTAGGGAAATCATATTTGCAACTTTTGAGTGAACGGTACCTTTTGAGTAACTGACTTCATTCTCTAGAGTCAGACTAAAAAGAGTCAGTGAAGAGAGTGAGTGGGTGGCAGTAGCCTGGAGGGATAGGCAGCCGGCATTGACCTCTGTTCTCTCCCTGGCCACCAGGCATTACGTTGTTCTAGATCCAAATCATTGTCCCTGTGCAGTCTCACTGGAATGTGGGAAGGGTGGGCATAACACTGGTAAAAGGCTTTGTCCTACTTTGTAGTAGTACTGTAAGAATGCTAGAAACTTCCACCTGTGTGGCGGGTCTTATTGCACGATCATGTTTTGTTTGTGAAACTGCCTGCTCTGTGAGGATTCTCTCCTGTCTAAGAATGAGCTAAGATGGGGCAGCAGGACGCTGCGGGCCTCGTTCCTACGAGAATTAGTTCAGCCCTTGAGGCGGATTGTTGCACACCTTTTTAAATATATTCGTGTTTCGTTCATTTTGCCTAGTGTCAGTCCAGGGTGAATTGAAGATCTGTGTGGGTGGGAGTTTTTATCCACTGCTGTATCATAAGCTCCTAAAACAATGACTGGTGTGTCACAGGCATTCTGTAAATGTTTGTTGAATGAACGAACACCCTGTCAGGATAAATCCTAGTTTGTTGGCAACAGTGATTTGATTTTAAAAGGCAAGGGCAGGGGAGGCTCATTTAGCCCCTTGGTAGAGAGAAGACTGTTTCTGTAAAGGAATAGCTTTCCTCATATGAGTAGTGAGATTTCTTAGCTTTTTATTTTGGAGTAAGTTGTGAGCTCCTTCCGAGTCCAATACAGGTTTAGTGTCGCCGGGCAATGATTAGGGAAATTGAAGTTGTAAAGGTCCTGGTCTCAGGAATTTCCCAGAATAACCTCTTGAAAAGGGATGTTGATTGAAATGTGCAATTACCAATAATTGAGGTTTCATCTGAGGGTGTTGAAATGAAATGGCTCCTTCTGGGCCATCATTGGCATTTTGACCCTATTTTTGACAAGTAAAGTGAAACTTTTAAAAAAGGTTGGCAAAGATGATATTGTGTCATTTGTGAAATATAATAGATGTTAATTCATGATTGGTTTGTCCTGCCTGCTTTAAATGAAATGTATTGTGTTTCTGGGTTTTCTTTTTAGCTGTAAAAGTACTTTGTTACTTAAAGCATACGGTTTGATCAGCAGTTGTGCTTCAAGTTCCTGCAAGTTATAAAAGTTTCTCATGCCTTGAGTGTTGGCTTTTTAAAAGCACCATAATTACAATTTAATGGTATTCTGTAAAGTGGTGTTCTAGGTGTAATTTAAATTATTTTTAATGACTAAATTTCTTAAAAACTTGTAAAGAAAAATATGTGTGTTCTTTTTGCTGTGTCATTTGGTAAGAATGATTGGTTTGGGCCGGCCCCGTGGCTTAGCAGTTGGGTGCGCGTGCTCCGCTGCTGGCGGCCCGGGTTTGGATCCTGTGCGCACACTGTCGTACCGCTTCTCTGGCCGTGCGTGGGCCACGTCCCACATGCAGCAGCTGGAGGGCTGTGCAACTATGACTTAACAACTATCTACTGGGGCTTTGGGGGAAAAAGTAAATAAATAAATAAAATTATAGAATATTAAAAAAAAAAAGAATGGTTTCTAGTCCACAAAAATTGAAGGATGAGCACGTGTCATGGGGTTAGAAAATGATCCTTTTTTTAAAAGCACACTAATCTTGAAAACTCTGCCTTTTGGTGGTTATCACTGTTATATTTCATATTTCTCCATAAGTCACTTGTCCAAGTTCTGCATTCTGACCATGCTGACTTCAAGCCTTTAAGGAGGGATAAGAGGCTGAAAATCAAGGCTGCTCTGTCTATATATAAAAGTGAAACAATGTTTTGGTTCTGCACTGTTGTGTCCACCTAAATAAAACAAATCTGAGTAATGGAAAATGTGTCTTAATATTTCTTGCCTTCTCTTCAGGGAAGATGTAACAGAAGATAAGTCCTGAAATGTCTTGAGGCTCATTCCTCTCTGCTGGATATATAAATTCAGTAGGCTCCGTGGTACTTACTAAAATCCAGCTGGCAGTAACTAAAGGAAGAAAGTCTTTGATTAAGGGCCCACAGATTCTGAAATTTCTAAAGCAGTAATCACATGTTCCTGATTGGGGATTGTTTGCTTGGGCTTGGAGAGAAGGACTAGAGATGCTGTTAAACATGCGTGCTAAACAGTGCTGCTAAACATGGGTGGCCTGCCCACCTCTCTCAAGAGGGGGACTCCCTTGTACAATAGTCAATTTACACAGTTTACTGTTGTGGATAATAAATCAGAGCCATTTGAAATCTGAGTACAGTTCCTGGCTTATAGTAAGTAATCCATAAATGCTAGCTACATTTACGATCACCTCTTCCTGCTCCCCAACTGTTTCCTAGGGTGACACCCCCAGGAACCTTTGAAGTTGTATTAGTTTTCTCTTGTTCCATAACAATTACCACAACTTTAGCAGCTTAAAGCAACACTTTTTATTTGCAGTTATTATCTTGCAGTTTTGTGGGCCAGGAGTCTGGACATGGCTGGGCTGGGTCCTCTGCTCAGGGTCTGACAAGGTTGCAATCAAGATGTGGACAGGCTGCATTCTTCCCTGGAGGCTCAGAGGGGAAGGAGCCACTTCCAAGCTCCCTCAGGTTGTTGGCAGAATTCATTTCCTTGTGATTATCTCACTGCTTTTTACTGACTGTTGGCTGGAGGCCACCCACAGTTCCTTGCCACGTGGTTCTCTCTAACATGACTGCTTACGTCATCAAACCCATAAGGATTGTGTCTCATCTCAGGAAGGGCTGGGTCCCTCTTTTAAGGGTTTTTTTTCCTCGTTAAGTCAGGCCACTCAGGATTCTCCCTTTTGATTAACTCAAAATCCACTGCTTTGGGAGCTTAATTACATCTGTGAAATCCCTTCACTTGTGCCACTTCTGTTGCTTAGAAGCAAGTCACAGGTCATGCCCACACTCATGGGGAGGAGATCATACAGGGCATGAATGTCAGCGGAATCATGGGGCCACCTTAGGGTCTGCCTGCCATAGAAATTATCCTAAATCCCACCCTCTCTGTCTCTGAGCCTGTAGTTTAACCTTCTTACCATCCTTCTGAGGCCTTTCTCCATATCCCAAATGCTCTCAGGCCCTTGTCACTTCTTTCCTGAGTCCCTCTAATAGTCTTACCGTGTCTAACCCAACTTCCACATTCCTGTCACTTGACTTTTTAAAATGCCAATCCGATTATGCCAACCTTCCCTACCACCCCACTCCCACCATTTTAAATCCCTTGGGACTCTTAATGGATTTTGAGATAACTTTTGGTTTAGGCCATACAAGTTACCACCATCCCTCCTGTCTCTGATACAGCCACTTATAATGTTCCTTAAAGGCCTCTCTGCTTTCTCAGGTGCTCCTCTTTGTCCCCACCCCACTCTTACCTTCTATTCAAAAGTCAGCTCCATGTTGGTGGGAATGTAAAATGGTGCAGCCACTACGGAAAACAGTATGGCAGATCCTCAAGAAGTTAGGCATAGAATTACCATGTGATCCAGCAATTCTACTTCTGGGTATGTATTAGTCAGCTCACGCTGCCAAAACAAAATATCATAGGCTGGATAGCTTAAACAACAGAAATTTTTCTCACAGTTTTGGAGGCCAGAAGTCCAAGATTGAGGTTCCGGCCAATTCAGTGTCTGTTGAGGACTCTCTTCCTGGCTTGCAGACAGCCGCCTTCTTGTTATGTCCTCACATGGCCTTTCCTTGGTGTGTACACATAGGTAGGTGGGTGGAGATGTCTCTCTTCCTCTTCTTATAAGGCTACCAATCCTATGGGATTAGGACCCCACCCTTATGACCTCGTTTAACCTTATCTCCAAATACATTGACCGTTAGGGCTTCAACGTATGAATTTGGTGGGGGGGACATAGACATAGTTCAGTCCATAGCAGGGTATATACCCAAGAGAATTGAAAGTAAGGTCTTAAAGAGGTGTTTGTACACCCATGTTCATAGCACCGTTATTCACAATAGCCAAGAGGTGGAAGTAACCAAACTGTCCATCAATGGATAAACAGATAAAGTGTGGTACACACACCCTCCTTAAAAAGGAAGGAAATTCTGACACATACTACAACATGGATTAACCTTGAAGACATTATGCTCAGTGAAATAAGCCAGTCATAAAAAGACAAATACGTATGATTCCACTTATATGAGGTACCTAGAGCAGTGAAATTCATGGAGACAAAGCAGAATGGTGGTTGCCAGGGGCTGGGGAGAGGGGAGAATAGCGTTGTTGTTTAACAAGTATAAAGTTCAGTTTTGCCAAATGAAAAGAGTTCTGAAGATTGGTTGCACAACAGTGTGAATGTACTTAGCACTACTGAACTGCACACTTCAAGATGGTTAAGATGGTAAATTTTATGTTATGTGTATTTTATCACACACACAAAAAAGCTCCAGCATCCACTGCAGGAAGCTCTCTGTGACCTCCCCCTCATCTGACCCCAATTCAGATGTCCCTCCTGTGCTCGAGATTACACGCTGCCTCAGTGCTAAGCACATTGCAGTATTGCCATGGTGTCCTTGTCTGTCCTCCACCAGCCTGGGAGCCCCTTGAAGGCAGGGGTGGTGCCTTCCTTGTCCCCATATTCCCAGCACGTGGCCCGCAGCCTGACACCCAGACACTAGGGAATTATTTGTACCCCCATACCAGCCATGAATATCTTCTGAGAATGCCCAGTGTGGATGAGAGCATCAGATTAGAAGTGAACTGTCCCCTAGGCCGATCATCAGTCTCCACCAGCGCTTCCTCCATTTTGCCCAATTCAAGGTGGCCGAGTACAATGCATCCTCCATTTCCTTCTCCCACTTGAGTGACTGAGGGCTCAACTGGGGGCCTTTCAGAAACTTTTCTGGTTGGTGGTTTCTCCAGCTGCACCCATGCTAATTTACAACTGAGAGCGTCACTTTGTTTTCTAGGGGTTCTAACATACAGCACCTCATCTGAACCCCGCAGTTGGGCATGTTATTGATGAAACACTGATGCCATTGTAGTAAGAGGAGAGCGGTGATGCCTTTTCTGTTCACAATTTGTGCCCAGCCAGGAAAGAGGTTTAGTCTACAATGCTTCCCCCCGAGCCGCCACCACCATGACCACCACCCAGGGGCGAGGGCAGTGGGTAGGGAGAGACACTGCTAAGCCAGAGGCTGCTGAGCTGGGCCAGCAGTTCTGTGCCCCTCCTGATGAAGCCGAATTACAGTAATGAACTGTATAGTGGAGAATTTGTTGATTCAAATCCTACCTCTTTCCCGTTCAGATAACATCAGTGTTCTCAGTTTCCCTTCTTGAAAGTGAGATGAAAAAAGAGAAGGAACAAATAAATGCTCCTTTGTGGTACACTAGACACTGCAGAGCCCTCAGGGAAAGGAGAGGCAAGTCAAGTTCCATGAATGAAGGAAAATCAACATACGGTTTCCAAGAGCCCTGTTCCAGTGTTTCAATGTGTCTTTTCTCAGACTCAACAAAAACAAGAGAAACTAAAGTGCTATCAAAAATCACTTCCAAATCCCCAGAAATGTGATTTGCATTACCTCAGGAAGCAGAGTCCAACTGAACCCGGGCTTCCATGGAAACTTTAGGAATTTAAAAGGAAATGTTCTGATGGTAATTTCCGAGGTAAAGAGAGCTGTGTGTAAAGACGTTTTAACATTCATGGCATTTGTTCATTTTGAATATCTAAACTGTCTGTTACAAAGGAAGCACTCTTAAGCACAGAGGTCCTCGAGGCTCCTTACCATCTTTCAAAGTACTTTATAAATAATATCACCCCTTGAGACAAGAGAAGCTTCGCTTAAGAAAAGAGAAAAGAAATTACCCAAAACTATGGCTGCTGTAAAAGAGAGCAGAAAAAAGAATAAGCATCAGACAGAAAAAGGATGGTCTAGACAGGCTGTCCATTAGAAAATGAAGAGAGCCACATAAGTAATTTTAAATTTTCCAGTAGCCACATAGAAATAGTAAAATGAAACAGCTGAAATTAATGTTAATAATTATTTTAACCAAAATATCATTATTTCAATATGTAATCAACATAGGAAGTATTGAGATATTGTACATTTTTTGGTACTAAATCTTTGATCCAGTGTGTATTTTATACTTACAGCACTTCTCATTTCAGACTAGCCTCATTTAAAGCGCTCAGTAGTCACATGTGGCCAGTGGCTGCCAAATTGGACAGAGTAGGTCAAAACAGACTGTTGTACCCACGTCTGCTCCCACCCCAGGGCATGCACTTTAAAGATTTTATTTATTTATTTATTTTCCCCCTAAAGCCCCAGTGGATAGTTGTATGTCATAGCTGCACATCCTTCTAGTTGCTGTATGTGGGACGCGGCCTCAGCATGGCTGGAGAAGCAGTGCGTTGGTGCGCACCCGGGACCCGAACCCGGGCCGCCAGCAGCGGAGCACGTGCACTCAACCACTAAGCCACGGGGCCGGCCCCATGCACTTGAATCTACTCGTGTCTTTGCCAATGTCTGTCTTTGGCCTGGGATTCTCTTCCCTTGAAGTCTAACATTTCTGAAAGGGTATCCGTCTCTTTCATCAGAATTAACTAGGTGCATATTCTCTGTCCTCTTGAAACTCAACAAGTCTATGAGTACTTACTATCTTGTCACGATGAGTTGCACATTAAACATCACCTCCCCTTGAAGCAGCTTTAATCCGGAGTGAGAGCTGGTGGCTGCTTCCCCAACCCACATGCTCTCTTGCCTTAACTGTTGCTGTTTTGTTTGTTTTTTTCTACTTGTCCTGGTTCTCCTCAAACAAGCTGTAGGCTCTGTTCAATTCAGGCATCTTGTCTTAGTGTCTTCCTGGTAGACATCTCCACCCCAAGCTCAGTCTAGCAAGTGCCAGCACGTAGCAAGATGAAGTGAGATGGGAAGGAGCTGAGAGAAAGTAAATGTGTGGGTGAAGAAGTGCGTTTACTCCTCTGAGAGCAATCAAACTGCAGGTCCTCAGGGTCATTCTTTCTCCTTCAACTGAAGCCTTGATGAAGGTGAGTAAAGAAGTATAATAAGAGTGCAATGTAGAGTCCCTCCAAAAGGATTTGCCCACAAATGAGCTGGCTAAGTCATAGACTCTCACTGCCCGGGTGGAAAAAATGAATACTCCACGTGCTCCCTTGGCAGGATCAGGCACTGGACAGCTCCACAGAGAAAGCACCAAAGCTAAAGTGGAGAAGAACTTGGGACTGTATGGGCCAGCCTCTGACAGCTCCCTTTCTACGTGCGAGGCCCTATGGTGGAGGAGAAGCTTGTAACTCTGGGTTCAGAGGAGAAGTGGAATCAAATCCTTACTTTCCTGCTAGATCCATATGACCTCCGCGAGCCTCAGTAAAATGAGATAGTAATATCTCACAGGCTTTTTTTTTTAACTTTTAATTTGGAAATAAAGACCCACAGGGAGTTGCAAAAATAGTACAGAGAGGTTCCCTCTATCTTTCATCCAGCTTTCCCCAATGGTAACATCTTACAAAATTGTAGTACAATATCAAAACCAGGAAACTGACATTGGCACAATCTACAGACGTTATTCAGATTTCACCATGAATAAAGTTTTACATGCACTCATTTGTGTATGTGTGTGTGTGTGCACAGTTCTATGCAAGTTCATCACATTTCTAGATTTGTGTGACCACCACTACAACAAGATACAGAACTGTTCCATAACCACAAAAGAACTCCTTCATGCTACCCCTCTATAGTCAGGCCTCCATCCACCCATCCCCAGACCCTGACCACTAATCTGTTCTCCATCTATATAAATTTGTCATCTCTAGAATGCTATATAGATGGAATCATATGGCATATAACTGTTTGAAATGGCCTTTTATCACTCAGCATAATGCCCTGGAAATCCATCCAAGTTGTTGCATATATTGATAGTTTGTTCCTTTTTATTGCTGAAGAGTATTCCACATGAGCTTGTTTTGAGGACCCATGGAATAGTACAAAAGCAAGTCGTCTAGCACAGTGCTCAACAAATGTTAGGTCTTCTTTCCTGGAGGCTGATTCTGAGCTCTTGCTGAAGATGGACACCAGCTTGGGGCAGCGATTCCCACTGCCCATGAATTCACACTCCCCCTCACTTTTTCTTTCTGCTGTAGAAAGCCCTCTGTATAAAGGTCAGAGCTCCTCTAGTCCACTCCTGCCTTTTAGAGCCAAGGATAGTCAGGCCCAGAGAGAAGAGGAGGCTGAGAGTATAAGACCCCAGGTCACGGACTCCTAGCTCAGGGCTCTTTCCACTGCTTCCAGGCCTGCAGTCTATGCCAGGTGGTTAATCCCCCACTTGGCCTGGGGCAGTCTTTGTGCAGCACATCAGCTGGGGAACCCGGCTCCTTACCAAGCCGGTGAGTCATCCCCGAGCATGGATGAGTTGGGGCAAGGAGCCAAAGATGGTCGGGTTTTCCCTAGATACAAAGTTCCTGTGAGGAGCCTTCATGACTTCAAACTCTGCTCAGTTGCAAGATGAGGTTGGCTTTCATTCATTCAACAAGAGCTTTTCAAACTCCTACTGTGGCCAGTGGTGGGGATATAGAGTTGACCAACCCACAGGCCCCTGGTTTCATGGGGTTTCCTGGGAATGATGGTGGTGGAAAGGGAGGGGAAATTGAGAAAGACTAAGGCTTTGTTTTCAACCTATCATTTCACTTCCCTGGGCTGTCTGCTCGGTGAGGGGCTCAGACCAAACAGCCTCTAAAGTCTGAAGTCTGTGCTTCTGGGATCTAAGTCCTCTCCCATACTGTTCCACACTAGATCCCTGGAACCCAGCCAGAAGGAAGACAGAAATTAGTATTTGTCAAGCACCTGTGAGCTGGCATTTAAAAATATACCTAGCTCACAAAACCTTCACAATCCAGTGAGACTGTTCCCTTAGTTTTGGGGTGAGGGACATAACCAAGTGGTTACAGGAATGGGTGCTTAAGACAAGCTGCTGGAGTTGCCTCAAGGTCACCCACTGACAGCTGTATGACCTTGGTTCCTGCTTCCTCTAGTCCTTGTATTCTCATCTGTAATGTAAAAGTCATGGGGGTTTGGTGAGGATTAAAGGCAATTGTCTAAATAAAGGCACTAAACATAGTGCCGGCACACAGAAAACAATCCCTTTTTTTAAAAACAAAAAAGTGTAACAGCATTTTCTTTGCTCACAAAGTAAACTATGTTTGAAAACTAGAAAATCCCAAACCATTGGAGCATAACAGAAGGGCAGTTTGGCATATTGAAAAAGCTCAATTTGGGTTTTGATCAGAAAATCTGGTTTGGTGCCTACTTACAAGGGGTGACCGTGGCAAAGTCATTTAAAATATTTTTCTCTGTACCCATGTCTACCTTTCAGGGCTGTTGTGAGGATGCAATGAGATAATGCACCTGGCCCTCAATGGGAGTTCGACAAATAGTAGCTATTTATCTTACCTCAAATAGAAACCCACTCACAACAGCTATGTGCAAGGGAAGTAATTTAGAGTGTCTTCATAGAACCCAATGGTGGGACATTTGGCTGGGAAAGTATCATGGAAAGGTCGTTGCTAAGACAGGAAAACCACCTTTTCCAAGAGCAGCCAGACACCCTGCCCTTAATCTCCTGGTTTTGTCAGCAAAAACAGGAGAGATGTGGATGACTTGGGTATTTTCAAAACTACTCAGGAATCTCACTGACTCAGAGAGCCCCGGAGACGAGCCAGATGGACCCTGTGGGCGTGAATCTCGGAGCATGTGGAGCAGAGGCAGGAGAAGCTACCGGGGAACCCCAGCCCCCGGCCCGTTGCGCAAGCCTGCGTGGGCGCTGACGGTCACGGACGCAGGTCACTGCTCCTGGCGGCAGGTGCCACCTCACCCCTTCCCAGCCTTGCAGGGGCGGCGAGGAGGGGAAGCCCAAAACAGATCACCACTCCTCTCGGTTTCTACTCCCCCTTTCTCTTTTTTGTTTTATTTTATTTTTTATTTTAAAAATAAAGATGATGCAACCTATTCGTGATTGCATATTCATTAAAAAAAATTAAACAATACGAAAATATATGAGTTAAAGTCCTGCCTTCAGTGCTACCTCTCCCAAGCCCTGTCCCGCTGCCCTGCGGAGTCACAGTCACGGCTTGGCCGTCTGTCCATCTCCTCACTCGTCCTGGACATCCGGCACCGAGCTGCGTCTCCCTGAGGACACCTGCCTCACTTTAACCACTTAATGATTTCAGGACTGAATAGGTCAGGAAGGAGGAGAGCGTCATAATTTTCAAACACATAACATTTTTCTATCAACACAGAACATTTCAGTCAAGCGCTACTGGCTTAGGAGGAATTTCTTTTTCAAGTGGCTTTAAAGAGGGTTAAGAGGGTGGACTCTGAAGGCGCGCAGACTGGCTCCTGGTTGTGGTTTTGCTGCATGACTTGAAGCAGTTCCTCAAGCTCCTTACAACTCAATATTCAACTGAAAAATGGGCATAATATCTCTTACCTCAGAAGACGGTTGTGAGGATTAACTGAGGGAACACGTGGAGAGCTACGGTGCCCAGCACAGGTGAAGCCTCCTAGTAGTGCTTGTTATTTGATTAGAGTCCATTGTGTTTGCCTTACAATCTAACTCTCAGACGCTAATCTTTTACTGCCTTCTCAGGCTCTTAGTGGTCACTTCACAACAGGAATCCATCTGTTTTACAGACTCCAAAGGAGCCTGGTGAACTTAGGCTTCTGAGGATCTAGAATCCAAGCCCAAGGGAGTCTGGTCTGGTGGGTGGGGCTTATTGGCAGGTGCATACCTGTTTTCCTGGTTAGAATAGTAATATATGTTCACAGGGGAGAATTTAAAGAGTACACACACACACACACACACACACACACACAATCAACTGTACTATGTATGGCTTGACCAGGCCATTTGACAAGAGTTAAAATTGTTGGAGTTTGTGGGGAATTTACCACGTGTTTGGCACTGTGCCAAATACTTCATAGGCACTGACTCATTTGATGCCTTTGAGATAATAGAAAATAAATATATTGGTCTCTGCCTCCAGTTCCTGACACAGGGCTCCTGAATGTGATGCACCCCAACTCCACCGGGACAGAAGCTCCTGCACTTGGGACCCTCCCAGACCTTGCCCTATGTATCTCTTCACCTGCCTGTTCATCTGTACTCTTTATCCTATCCCTTAATAAACTGGTAAGCGTAAGTAAGTGTTTCCCTGAGTTCCCTGACCGCCTAGCAAATAATCGAATCCAAGGGGAAGGAGGGCATGAGCATCTCCCATTTATAGCCAAGTCAGACTGTTGTGGTTTTGGGTAACCCACAAGTTGTAGGTAACCTGGGGACCTACCACTTGTGATTGGCATCTGAAGTAGGGGAGGCAGTCTTGTGGGATCGAGCCCTTAACCTGTGAGATCTGATGCTATCTCCAGGTAGACAGTGTCAGAATCGAGTTAAATTGTAGGACACCCAGCTGGTGTCACAAAGAATTGCCTGTGGGTGTGGGAAAAACCCGCACACATTTGGTGACCAGAAGTGTCAGAAGTCAAGTGTTCTGTGTGAAAGTAAAGGAGGAAAACTGGGTGGTTTTCCTAACACAATGCCCATAACCAGCATATGAGATAGACACTGTCAATCCCAATTGTACGTGTGTGGAAAGTGAACATACAGAGGTTAATTCACCCCAAACCAAACAGCTTTTAAAGGAGGAAGTGGAATTTGGATTCCAAAGGCTACGCTCTTAACCATCATGGCAGGCCGATCCTCTTCTTTGAAAGGTCAGGCCTGAGATTCTTGCAGCAGAATCAGCCTGGCATCATTCTTTCATTTCTCTACTCAACAAACACCTCTGGCACTGTAGCTGGCACTGTAACAGATACTGAGGTGACTTGGGCCCAGTATTTACCCTTGAGGGCTCACAGCCTGGAAGTAGAGGACCAGAGTAAGAGGTAAATCCCCACATAATCTGACAAGTGCTGTCAAGGGGTATGTGTGAAATACCCTGGGAAAATGTTTAGGAACAGAGAGAGGGGAGCTTCACATAAGAGGTTGTGTGCTGATTGAGCCTAGAAACATCGTTTCTAGTTTACTAGATAAAGAAGCCAGGACAGTGGTGGCATCTCAGGCAGGGGACCTGTAGGAACAAAGGCACAAAGGTATGTAAGATGAAAGTACGCAGCCTGTGGTGTGCGGTAAGGAGGAGTGGGCCGGGCCCTGTCTCTTCTCAGCTCCCCTCCATCCCCGCTCCCCTCCGTCTTCCTGCAGCCCCCAGAACAAGCCAGCGGTCAGGCAGTGGATACACAAGGATAGTCCCAGCATAAGAAGGGACATGTGCTTGGGTGGTATGCAGGCTTGGGGTCAGTGAGGGAAGTCTGCTCGCCCAGGAATAGAGCTACCTGCACCAAGCACCTGCTGTGGTAGGCACTTGGCTAAAGCATTTCATCAGAATTGACAATTGATTCCTCACCACACACTAGCAAGCAGGGTTGCACCTTCCACAGACGAGGAAATGGAGGCTTGAAAGTGCAAAGTCACACGGCCAGAATCTAATCCCAGGTTTGCTTGACTCCAAAGCCCGGTCCTGTTAGTGTTCACTGTGGCCTGAGGACCACTTGCATCAGAACACCTGGGTGGGCTTGTTAAAAAGGCGGATCCCTGGGCCTCTCCACGGACCCGCTGAATCAGGAGCTCTGGGGTGGGACTTGTGGATATGCATTTCCACATTTCCTTCCTGGTGACTCTAGAGCACACTGACATTCCACAATCCCTGCCCTATGCTGTACCGCCTACCCCTACACTGGAGCAGGGGAAGGGAGAAGGGGAAGCTGTCCCAGCAGAGACATCAGAATCTGCTAACATCTATTGATTAGGAAGACTGTGGAGCCTTTGGGAACTGTAGGAACAATGAGGGTACCCAAGGATACCCCATACCTCAGGACCTACCGGAGGTCTGTTGACCCCCACATTCTGCTCTCACACATATCTCTAACTTCCTTCACCGATTCCAAGACAAGACAAATCCCCAGGGCTCTGCAGGCATTTGCATTCGCAGCCTGTGAGGCAGCACCAGCACTGGTCCTCTGGACGTTCTTGGGCTGCCAGCCCTGATCCCAGGACTGAGCATCCCTGATGGCTCTGTGCACCATAACCCCTACTCCCAGCAGAGCCCATTCTGACCTTGGGGCTAATTGCTACTAATGTGACAGGCCATTCTTAGCAGACAGGAGACCAAGGAGGTCAGAAACGTCCTTTATAGGCGGTTATAGGACTGGTGTCATCTCATTTTGTCTTCCAATAGCAAGTGAGAGAGGGTTGGTTATGATCATTTTACAGATGAGGAAGATGAGGGCTGAGACAGGGAATAGGGAGGTAGAGTGGAGGATGAGAGAGGCTGGATGAAGGGAGTCGTATGCACTGATTTGTCCTGAGATAGGGATGAGGAGAGATGGAGGCTGTCACACTAGTGGTCACTGTATGGATAAACAGCAGGCCCAGCTCCTGCAGGGCAGGACTCAGAAGCACTAGCAGAGGGCCCAAGCCCAGATAAGGACCCCAAAAATAATACCACTATAATTACTGTCTGATCATCCACTCGTTGGATGTTTTCTGAGTGCCTCTTCTGTGACAAGCACACCCATATGTTGTTTCTACTCCTCACAGCCACAGCACCCCCACTTGGCCTGTGGTGGCTGCAGACCTGGGGAGGGGTCATACCACAGCCTCTAGAGCTGCTCTGCCACCAAGGTGAAGTGCAGAGTTAGGGTCAGCAAACCTGAGCACCAGTCCCACCCTGCCATTGTCTAGCTGCAGGGCTTCGAGTGGCCACTGGACCTCCCAAGAGAGGGTGTTCTTTTCTCTGCTGAAAATCGAGTGGATGAGACTTGAAAGGGGTGAGCACAGACTTGCTTGACTAGAATTCATGCTCTCAACCACCATGCACACTAGTGTTTCCCAGCGGTGGTCCCGTAGGTGTCAGGATCTTCTGGGTGTTTGGAGAGTGCAGATTCCTGGTTCTCCTCTGGCCCACTGACGGAATCTCGGCGGCCTTGGAAACTGCATTTTCCCAAGCTCTGCAGGTGATTCCTCTGTGTGATGAGAACTAGTTCTCCTGCCTCCTCAGTTCTAGTTTTAAACAGGCAGAAGTAGCTGGCACTCTGAGAATATGGTTGGCAAAGGCTCCGTCCCTTACAAGTCACAGAGAGAAAGTTGCCTCCATGGCTGGTGTGACATCTGTGACCGAAGGAAGTGACCGAGCCACCAAGAATTGCTGTGGGTCAGTGGGTGCAACGGAAGACCAGGGCCCAGCCTTTCCTGATGAGAGTTTTACCCGATGCCTGGTGAGAAAGAAGAGGAGATGACATCAGAGCTGTGCTGCAGTTATCTTGGTATATTTCAATTTTTTAAATTTATATTTAAGTTATAAAAGTATTAAATTGACCATTCCGTAGATTGTGCTCCATTCTCCTCAATCTTTGTTCTGCCTATAAAATCCCCAGTGAAAGGCGCGGTGATTTGAGCCTGAAAGATCTTTAGGAAATACTTGTCGGTGGGACTCGGGGGGTGGCTTAATCCCCAGAATCTTCATCAGGCCCACCTCCCAACCGCCCCACATTACACGTAATTTAAGTCAAAGTCATATGCTTCCTATATAAATGCAGTTTCACAGCAAAACCTTTAGCCCATGCCCACACCAACTACATGGCTGCCCCATTACCTCTTCCACAGACATTCAGGAGCTGCCTGGGTTCCTGTTGAAATACCCAAACACAATGGACCAGCCAGCAGTTGTGTGGGGTCCAGAGTAGTGCGAGGTAGCTCAGAATGATGTCTGAGTCACAGCCAACTTCCAGCCCCTGGAGCCTGGTCGCTGGAGCTAACCACGCCCACACCACAGCTGGCCTGTGTCTCCTTGTCTTCGTGTTCCTGCTCCCAGCCCACTTCCCTCTTCCCTACTCCTCCTTAGTTGGCTCAGTTGCAAGACTGGGCTGAGTTCACAGGTGACACTGAACAACTTCTCGTCGATTAACTGATTGGTTAATTCTGTTGCTATGGGAACCACCAGATTCTAGTGCAACTGTGTGACTCCTTCTTGACTTTATGCTAGACAAAATGCTGATTCTCTGGGCTTGCTTCTCCTCCATGTGCCACTCCATCTGGGTCAGGAGGAGCAGAAGCTCCAGAATGAGCAGAAACCGAAAGCAGAAGCTCCAAGAGAAAGGTGGGGGTGGTGGTAAAAAAAAAAAAAAAGCAGGGGAGGGATCAGCGGCCCTGAGATGTAGAAAATTCTGTGTAAAGCAGCCTGCACAGTGATTATGGGTGTTGGGGCTTTAGGTTCAAGCTAGAATTGGGTTCACATCGCAGTTCATCCACCTATCAGGCTTAAGTTTAGTTAAGACTCTCTGCCTCCCTTTCTTCATTTGTAAAATGAGGATAATAATACCTGTGCCTTTAGGTTGCTTTGAGACATGAATGAAATGATGCGAATGAGGTGGAAGGCAGTATCTAGTACCTACAAGGGCCTCGCCCAGGTCGAGGGGCTCAGGCCATTTCATTTTTTAAGGATCTTGGATATAAAATGAATAGCAAAACAATATTAGATAAATTGGGGAAGAGCTTAAATATATACATTTAATGACATCAATTTAGTATAAAAAATACAATGTAAGATAATTACAGGAATTCTAGAAAATATTAATTCAATGAGCCTGTGTCCAGAAATTAGACACAAGTGTGTATGATGACTCTTTCTTCTCAGGGAATCTCTGTGATTGTATTTATAACCCTTTTGAACATAACATCAAGAGTCTAAACTTGTGATCCTTTGTGAATGGGCTACCCAGGTGATCTTTCTGCCCCTGGTAAACCTCCCCGGGTGCAGAGTAAGCGCTTCAATAAACACTTGTGATTTTAAGCGTCATCATCATGTCTCCAATGAAGCTGAAACCACTACACTTACTGCAGATGGAGTTATGCACTGCATGCTGCACACTGGTGGGGACAACCGGTTCCCCAAAGCACAAAGGTGATCGACCTACCTGCAGACCAAAGCCTAAGTCTTGGCCTCCTAGATCCCGTGCATCAGTGTGATGAGCGTTTACCCTTCATGACTCAGCTCAAGTTCAAGCTCCTCTTTGAACAGGCCCCCAGCACTGACTCAGAGTTGGCAATGCCCTTGTTCATGTTCCCAGTGCAATTTGTTCATACCTCTGAGCAATAACCGTTAATACTGTTCACCAGATGTTTCCAGTTCTCCCTCTGCCCTCTTGGAGTTAAATGCCTCCCTGCCCCCTTGGAATTAAATATGGCCATGTGACTTTGATGAATTAAATTAAGTGAAAGTGATGTGCTAATGAGTAATGCTCCAGGTTCCCTTTCCCTCTGCCACAGCAACCAGCAATGTTCTGGACAATGGCTGCTGTGTCAGCCTGGGCCCTGGATTTAGAACAACACGAGTGGAGGTCGTGGACATACAGCATGAGCTCTGTTGATTAAAGACACCGAAAGTTGGGGAGTGTTTGTTACTGCAGCATTAACTGGCCAGTACTGATTGATACATTCTATTTTAGATTCATTATATTGTAATAATTCTGTTTATATGTTCATCTGTCTTCCTAAACGTGAACTTTTTAAGGGAAAACACTATGTCCTACTCACTTCGGATTCTAGAGCTCCCAGCACAGTGCTAGCATGTACTCATATATGTAAAATGGGTCCCTATTAATAAGTGTTGATTGAATGAATAAACCTTACGTGTGGTCTGTTTGAGACTGCTGCCTTCATTGATGGCTTCATGACATTGGCACATCTTTTTGCCTTTTTTGGAATAAAGTCTTTATATTCCATTTCTTTCTCTCTTCTCATGGTCCTTTGGCACAAGAGATCAGCTACCACCACATCTTGGATTATTCCCACATCTTCAGCAACTCTCCTGATTGTTCATACATCCATTCATCCATTTACCCCTTCACTCATTAATACATATATTCCTTCATTCTTCAGATATTGCCTGAGTGTCTCCTATGGGCCAGGCACCGTGCTATAGGTCGAGAACACAGAAATCTATAAAATGTAGATCTCAGTCTAAGGGGGAAAAACAGACAAGCAAACAGATGTGAAAAATGCATCATATAACAAAAAATATTTCTGTCAACACTGAGGGTCTTTAAATTTTTTTCTTATGAAAGAAACCTTCCAGTATGAAAAATACTGCCCTAGTCTAATCCCTTTGTTTTTCAGACAAAGAAACTGAGGACTTGCTGGGCCAGGGAAACAGCCCCTTGCCTGGCACCCTGCTGGGGGGCCCAGAATGCTTGAGAAACATGAGAGGCTGACTTGACCCCAGAAGGACACGAGTTTGTCAGTCAGGCTCTGCAGCTCCCCTTGCCTAATACAGCACAGAGTGTTTTTTGTGGAAATTAAAAAGCAAGGGCCAAAGTAAGTAAGCCTAGAGCCATATCTGTTAACAGACCACATGGCACCTCTAATGAAACGCTGGGGTCAGACGTTGTTTTCCCTGTGTGTGCACCAGCTAATGGGAGCCCTGACTATCCTCAGGCCAGAATGCAAGTGGCTGAGCCAACTGTGCCTAAGTGTGCTAGGGTCGGGGAGAGGGTTAGGGCTTGGTTAAGCTGCTCACGGCATGACCTTCTTCCTTCTGCTGAAGCTAGGGTAGCCTAGTGGATAGAATATGGGCTTTGGCCTGGACAGATTTGGGTTCAAATTCTGGTTCAGCCGCTTAATAAGTGTGTGCTATTGTGCTGGTATCCTAACCTCTTAGACCCTCAGTTTCCTCATCTATAAAATAGGGGTAATGATACAGAGTTATTGACAAGATCCATTGAACAATCTGCATAAAGCATAGAGGTCCATGGAAATCCACACCATTTGGCAAATGTTATTGCCCCCAGTGTCGTGCTTAAATCAGATAACATACACAAAGTGCTTAGGCCAGAGGATACTCGATATAAATTAACCATTATTTTCATTACCAATATTATATACAGAGCATGACATTCTTAAGAAACCAACTTTGGATTTGAGTGTGCCCAACTCAATACCCAAAAACAGAATTATTATGCTTTTCTGCGGATAGGTTTTTTCACTAAGGAAATAGTGTTTGCCTCAAAGCTCATTGTAGATCCCAGCTGATTTCATTTGGATGAACTGCTTGGCTTCAGAAAAAGACATGGATTGCAGCCAGGCACCCCATGTGCACAGTTAACTGAGCCTATTAAAACAGTGAAATACTCAAATTTAATGCAAAGGCTTTGCTATCCTTCACTCGGAGTTTTATAGGGCTCTGAAGCAAACTTCCCATAGATATCACTGTTTGTGACCCCAATGTGACCCATCAAAAGGATGTGATGAAGATAAAATTCAGGCAGTTCTGAACCACAGCCAGGGGAGATAGGGTGCCATAAGCCATCTCTCAGCTTTTAAAACATATGCAGCCGTAAAATGAACATATCCAGAAACAATCTTGCCAGAAGTCAGGAATTATCTGCAGGAAAAAGAATCAGAAGTTGTTTGACAAGCAAAGACATTTTAAATCTCTTTGGTTCTCAGAATCACTGTGTTTCCCCAGGCCAGGTCCCAGTCTCCATCATGTCAGGAGAAGGGCAGGTAGAGACTGAGGGTTGAGGGGGAACTCCATGTGTACCTTGGGCCAGCCTGGATCCAGGTGTGCTCATAATCTGAAGGTCGAGGGAAAGTTGAGGATCAGGACGAAGTATGAGGAAGATACTCAGGTGGACCCAAGTTCTCCAATGGTGGTCAGAAGCAATCATCCAAAACACGATGACACAGACAACTTCCCACTTATGAAGTTTTCTTAAGCCGTCATCTTCTGCACAGTTCACAGAAACACACGACAGCCTTCTCAAAATGTTCTGCTATGAGCTGAGCACAGTCTCTCACTTGTAGTATGAAAGAGTAGAGGTCTAGTAGGGTTATTAATCCTCATGATCTGAAAACCAATGAGCTCGTAGCCTTTAAAGGCACTCAGTTTATAACATTCTAAATCCTTTCAACAGTTTTGAATTTGAGTCTCTTAAATTACACATCTATGCATCTATTCACTCATCAACAAATATGTATTACTACTAAATGCCTTCCCTCTTGAAATGTCACAACCCTGTCTCCCACCCCCATATTGTGACGTTGTCTTCTTCCATTCTCCTTATAACTCCTTCTTTTCTGCCTAGGAAATTTCCTTACGGCAAGCATTGTGGCGGAATTTATACAATAGCCATGATCTGTGTGGTGGGCTACATGTTTTTGTTTACATCTTTATTTGTTTTTATGTGATGTGATAAATGAGTATTATGTAGAGAAAAACTAGAGATCTGAGTTTGAAGGTTTGGTGATGCTGCATGCTGAATACAATCAATAGCCTGTGCCCGGAGCCCAGAGGTTGGATCCTCATTACCACTTCCCCTACCCCAGACTTTCTCCTCCACTGCCCAATGGGCATCAGCTTTCATGATTCTCTGTATATCCTCCTCAAGCCTTTGTCACCCTGGAGTGAATATAGATAATGGAAATATGTGAAAAGTTGAACCAGTGCTTCTCAAAGTGTAATCCCCAGACCGGTAGCAGCAGCCTCGCCTGAGAGCTTGTTAGAAATGCAAATCCTTGGTCCCCAACCCAGACCAACTGAGTCAGAAACTCTGGGGGTGGGGCCAACTATCTTAACCAACTATTTTAACAACTATCTGGGTGATTCTGAAGCTTGAGAACAACTGATTCAAACCATTGCACACGACGGAAGGCACCAACTTTGGTAAATTAAACACCTAATTAAAATGTCTGTTTAGCCCAATCTAAACTGAGAGGATGGAGGATCTTAATTTCCTTGAGCGTTCTCTCAGAGGGTTACTGCTGCCTTTGTCCTGCCTTCTTGCTTTTCAAGGCCTCCAAGAAGAGGGAAGTCCTTCAGAGGAGAAAATATCCTGCCATCCGCATTCTCACCCCTCCCATTTTCCAGTGTCCTTGGGGACATTAATGATTGTGACTCTCTGTGTCTGCCCTCTCGGTGTTCCTACATCTGTGGGGAAATGAAAAGCTTCCCAAAAAAAGATGAGGATGCACTTCATGTTAACAGTGAAGCCTTAATAAAGCTGCTTCGAGATACTGCATTATCATTTCATGATAAATTAACCGGGGGGTGGGGGGAAGGAATGAAGCACTTTTGTTCAGAGACATGAAGCGGCTGAAAGATTAATGTATACCCACCTGGGTCTTCTCGGGGGTCCGCCACATCCTGGGAGGAGATCTTAAAGCTCGGTCAAGGTCAGCCCTCACATAGCCCTGCTTGTCTAATGTTCTCCTCCACATGATTTCAGCAGCAAAACCGGGTCAGGTGCAGGGCTCCAAGGTGAGTCGGAGGGACAGTGACCACTGGAGGGTCAACAGAATGGCAAGCCAGGAGGTGACGCAGATTGCACTTACCCTGCAGCAACAAAGCCTGTTACCAAATAAATGCCAACGGCCCCAAAACCACAGGAGTTGTTTATCTCTCTCTTTTTCTCCCTTTAAACATAAAAATAACCACAATTCCTAAATGTCAAAAGAGACAGAAACAGTCCATCGTTTCCAAAGCCTACCTAATGGCTACTGTAGATTTTTGCAGGAGCTTTTCAGTCTCGGCCATTTGGGCTCTGGGCTACTGCATATCTTGTATTTGCTCTTAAGCTTATCATTCACGCATTGCCCCCAGGTCGTTGCCAGGAAAACCCTGCCATCTAACCAGAAGGTTGTCCTAGAATTATAGAATATCAGAGCTATGTAGGACTTTGGAGATCATCTTCTCAAGGACTTTTTAACTAGCTCTTCAGAGATGGGCTTCAGGCAATTTGGGTCACCCCTGAAATTATTTGCAGAATTCTACCATAAGTATGTACATCTTTCTAGAAATAGTGATATCCCTGTCTTTCATCAGAGCCTCAAAGCAGTGAAAACCCCCAAAAGGTTATCTATTCTTTCTACAAGGGTGACTGTGTGCCGCCATTCAGGCTGTGGCTTGCAAAACTCTGGGTTGGGTTGGGAGGGATTCACATAGACTATAACACCCGCTGGAGTTGTGCAGTGCACAACCACACACCCACAGATGGTGGGCCAGCATTCTATTCTATACTCATTTTACAGTTGACACCAAAGCGCTGAGAGGTGATTTGCCCTTTCCCTTTTTCCATAGCTCCCTGCATACATTCCTTTCATTACACTTAGATTATATTGAAATGATTTTAGGAGGTATGTCTGTCTAATTCTAGGATTCAGTATTAAGAAATCCACTGGTGCACATACTGTCACGTTTTCTAATGTCAGCTTTATTACTAACAAAACCAATATTTTATTCTCCCTGAGCCTGACTCCTTTCTATTTTTCAGTTGATTCCCAAACTCAAGTAGAGAAGAGGGATGTTATTTATCGTCCCATAAACCTTAAACATGTTCCTGAAGAGTCAATCAACAATTAATGAATAAAAGAAGTATAAAAAAAACTATACAAGGAAGTAAGAACTAAGGACCCAATGAAAAATTAATCCTTTCTCCAATCATAGCTGCTGGAAATAGTTCCCCTAAGGGTATTTTTGTACTTCGTCGTTTCTCTATTTAGAAACCTCAGCTCCTTCTTCTATTAAATTTGTAAGGGCTTCTACTAATTTTAACAATTACTAGCTAATGCTTACAGTTCTCAAAACACTTGCAATTACGTTAGTTCATTTGAGTCTCAACAGGAAGAACAGTGTCATCTCCATTTTACACAAAGAGAAGAAATAAGACTCAGGGAGATGGAGTCCTTGTGAGTGGCAGAGCTGGGACTCAAACAAGGTGTGTCTGATTTGAAGTTCATTACACCGAGGCCCTATGCCAGGCAGTGTGGTAGACGACACAAGTGATCACCAACATCTGGTTCTCCTCTACTTCCAGGTAAACAGAGGATTGTGCTTCCCTGCCCCCTTGAAGCTGGGCATGGTTGTCCATATTGGCCAGATATAGCCAATAAAATGAGAACAACAGGGATTTGTGTCTCTTTTGGACCCAAGGATTTAAATTTTGGTGGTCAACTCACTAGCTCTCCCTCTTTCCTTGTTAAAACTTCCAACACATGGAAGCAAGTTTGATATGGAGGTGCCATAAGATCAAGAAGCCTGGAATGATGAGCCAACACACAGAGGACCACTTGCTCTGGTGAGCCACCTAGTCCTGCAGCAGACTGCTAGAGCAAGAACTTAACTTTTACTTTTACTGGTCAGACAAGAAGATTTTGGGATTGTTTGTTACC